CGCCCCTCTCTGGCAGGAGCTGTGAAGGGTTAGGTGGGGTCCAGTTTACAGTGACTCCACCCAACTGACTAGACACAAAAGACCCAGGGGATGCAGCTAAAGCAGTCCTTAGAGGGAAATGTCTGCATTTTTAAGAGGAGGCTACGATTTACGAAGCTAAACAGCCAACTTAGGAAGGTAAAACACAACAGGAAAGGAGCCGAATAAATTCAAGGGCAAGAGAAGAAATATCTGGAAAGATGATAAAGTAAAATCCCTTTAAAAAAATGCTGCCAAATGAGATTCTAGAAGTGACTGGAAAAGCCCGGGAAGCAGAGGAAACAAAAGCTTTCACTGGACCCGGACTGCCTGGCCAATGTCCGCGAGTTCTCATTCACTCTGCTGCCCTGTCTGCTCCTCTTGCTGGGAATGAACAGGGGCATTTGTGGTCTCTGGTGGGAGGGAGACCCCAGACTGGCGCTTACATTTCAAAACTTAGGTTCGACCTCAGTGAGGCTCCAGAGGACCCTGGCTTCCCCCTAAACGTCGACGTCCTGCTTTGTGCGCATCAGATCCCACAGATGCTCCTATTCGAGCGCTGTATCACCTTTTCTTTGTGTGTTTACCTGTCTCTCTCTACGCCCTGCAAGCCTCATGAGATCACCAGACACTGCCTGAGTAAATTTGTTTGCATTTAATAAAAACCTAAAAAAGGATGAGACCAACAGAGGTCCAAGGTAAGGGTACACCGTTAAGCAGAAAGAACAAGTTGTGTGTGCGCGTGCGTGTTGTGTGTGTGAGCGTGCGTGTGTGCACACGTACACCATTCCTCACAGGAAGTGCCTGGAATAGTGTACGAAGTGTCAGGGAACACCTCCAGGGACAGAAAAGGAGGAAAGAGGAGGAAGAACTTATTTTCACTTTCTAGCCTTCAGTAAAATGTTAAGTCGTTCACATGGCATGTATTACATTTATAGTTTTTAAAATGATTCAACAGTGACTTTTTTTTAACATCCATCATTTTGTCAAGAAGCACTTTTTTTCTAAGAAAAAACCCAAATGCCAATTTTAAACCCAAGTATAACTTAGGTTCTCTGGTATCCACAGAATGAAAGCCATTTTCGAATGCTTTCATGACAGCTAAAACACTGAAAAGCACAGTAACAGAATCAGTACATTTTCTGAGTAGAAGTCATAGTTTTTAATTTTTTAATTTTCTTAAGAGATTTTATTTATTTATTTGTCAGAGAGAGCCTGTGCAAGCACACAAGCAGGGGGAGCATGAGGCAGAGGGAGAAGCAGGCTCCCGGCTGAGCAAGGAACCCAATGCGGACTCAACCTGGGATCAGGACCTGAGCCAAAGGCGGACACTTCACTGACTGCACCACCCAGATGTCCTGAGAAGACTGCTTTATGCAGCTACACAGGCAAATGTATTTCACAAGAAAGACACTCATCTACCACCTGAAGATCAGGCTACCATAGATGGCGGCCACATCAAACAAACTACGACAATTACAGGTACCAGCTGAGAAGTCAGATCCTTCGTAAAGGAATCTTCCCCAGTGCTCCTGAGATGTACAGAGAACATGGAAAATGTGGACTAGTTCCGCTTGCACCACAAGCACTGAGTCCATCAAGCAACTGGCCAGCCACAGTCCTGCCCCTGGAGTTTAGGAAGCAGCCACGGCACGGCAGCACTGGCCACCTACTCCCCCTATCCTGAGCCACAGATCACAGAGTCTAAAACCTGACTCATAGGCACATGGGTCCAAATATATACTTGCTGATTGATTAGACTTACCTGTCTAGTAACCTTCTTTTTTGGGGGGTGGGGGGAACTCCGAAATAATACATAGGAACCATCTGTTTAGAAGTTACGCTGATTTTTTTTTTTTTTTTCATAATTGCCGCATAAGGTTCCCTGACACAAGATTAAGAAACACCGCCAGAAGCCAGCCACTGCAGATTCTGTTCCCATTAATGGCACCAAGGGATGCACTCTGGTTACGCAAAGCTTCGCCACCTTCAACTCTGCCGACCACGAGGACTTATAGCTGGGTCAGCTTTACGATTTCAGTTCTTGCAGCTTTTCTAAAGGTACTTTCTGTTACTTGTGCCATTATTTAAAACCACAGAAAACATCTCAGCTGGAACATCTCTGAATAGAATGTGTTGAGTTTTTGATGAAATAATAATTATTAGAGCAAAACGTATAGAGTCTCCTATCACTGCCTCCACCAATTCTTACTTTGAATTTCCAAGCTACAAAAAAGTTATGAGAATACAAAGTAGAAAGAAAACCTGAGCCCTCACACACTGTTGGGAGAATGTACAAGAGTGTAGGTACTATGGAAAACAGCTTGGTGGGCCTTCGAAAAGATAAAGATAGTAGGGCGCCTGGGTGGCTCAGTCAGTTAAGTGTCTGACTCTTGATTTCCGCCCAGGTCATGATCTCAGGGTCATGAGACAGAGCCTCTTGTTGGGCTCCGTGCTGGGCATGGAGATACTCTCCACGTGCTTAAGATACTTTCTTTCCCTTTGCCCTCCCTACCCCTCCAGCTCATCCATGTGCCGGCTCTCTTAAAAAAATAAAAAAAAAAAAGTTGGGGCACCTGGGTGGCTCAGTGGGTTAGGCCTCTGCCTTTGGCTCGGGTCATGATTTCGGGGTCCTGGGATCAAGCCCCGCATCGGGCTCTCTGCTCAGCAAGGAGCCTGCTTCCCCCTCTCTCTCTGCCTGCCTCTCTGCTTACTTACTTGCCTCTCTCTCTGTCAAATAAATGGATGAAATCTTAAAAAAAAAAAAAGTTAAATATAAAGTGTCATATCACCCAGCAATTTCACTCCTCTGTATGTATCCAAGAGAAATGAAAACATGTTTACACAAACACTCATACTAGAATGTTCATAGTAGCATTATTCATATAAGCCAAAAAGTGAAAACAATCCAAATAAATGTCCATCAACAGATGAATGGGTAAATAAAAGATGGTCTGGAATGGAATACTACTCAGGCATAAAAAGGAACCAAGAACAGATACATGCTACAGGTATGAACACTGAAAACATAATGCTAAGTGAAAGAAGCCAGTAACAAAAGACCACATATATGAAATTTCCAGAACAGGCAAATCCATGGAGACCGAAAGCACATCTGTGATGCCAGGAATATCTGCTAATGGGTACAAGGTTTTTTCTTGGGTGGATCAAAATGTTCTAAAATTAGATGGTGGTGATTATTTGAGCAACTCTGTGACTATATTAAAACCACTTAATTCTATACCTTAAATGGGTAAATTTTATGGCATCTGAATTACATCTCAACAAAACTACTATTAAAAAAGAATACAGGGGTGCCTGGGTGGCTCAGTTAGTTGAGCGTCTGCCTTCGGCTCAGGTCATGATCCCGGGGTCCTGGGATAGAGTCCTACATCAGGATCCCTGCTCAGTGGGGAGCCTGCTTCTTCTTTTCTGTCCCCCACTTGTGCTTGACTCTCCAGTGCTCTCTAATAAATAAATAAAATCTTAATAAAAAAAAAAGAATACAAAGTAGACTCATATAGCTTTCCATTAGAGTTGTCAATTATTAACACTTTGCCCTGTTTGCTCTCTCTTCATCTCACATGCATACTCACACACAATCTGTGGTTGAACTATTCAAAATTTAGTTATTGCCATATTTTACTCCTGAATACTTCAGTATGTGGCATATACTCCTACATAGCCAAAATACAAATATCACACTAGGGAAATTTAACACCAAAACAAAGCTATTATTTAATATATAGTCCATACCCAAATTTGTCAAAAATTATGCACAGTATTTGGTTATCATATCCCTTTAGTTTCTTTTAATCTAGAAAACGTCCCCTTTTTTCATGACATTCACATTTTTTAAAAACGCAGGCCAGTTATTTCAGAGTGTTCCTCCATTTGGAAATGTCTGAGTGCTTCCTTATGAGTTGATTTAAGTTGAACCTTTGTGGTGGAACACTACATAGAAGAGTTGGTCCCTCTTCAGCGCATCAGGCCAAACCCTCTGTGATCATGCTAGAACATGTCAGTAGTATCATCCGCAGTGATAGTGACGTGATGCCGTCAGTCGTGGCCAGACTGGTGATGACCTGATTCCTCCATTATGAAGGCAGCTTTTTCCCTCTGAAATTAGTAATTTGGGAGGTGACCCTCTGAAGCTGTGTAAACGTCAGGTTTCCCCTGTAATGTTGCACTCAGAAGGGTTTAGCATCTGCTCGTGATCTTTGCCCTGTATTCAATCCCTTTTGAGACTGCTCCGCCTGTATGGGGCCAGCCACTCCTCTCAGTTTTATTCCAGTGTGACTCAGCTGTGATTTCAACACTGGCTGCACAGTACAATCAGTGGTATCTCTGGGAGTGGGACCCGGGCAATCACACTTTAAAATTCCCAGGGTGACTGATTCTGATGGAAAGTAGGGAACCTTGAATCATCCGCGTTTTGCAAATAAGGAAACTGAGGCCAGAGGAGGTTAAACGATAGACGAGTGGCACAAAATCTGTTAATGCCATCATTACGATTTTTATTTTTTTTTTGTACTTGCATTTTAATATACCATGCGTTCTGAACATCAGAGAACAACAACAAAAAGAGTAACTTCTGCACGGCGTTAGAGCTGGCCGGACCCTGAAGTGCCTCTGCCTTTCATTCATTAAGACCTCTGCAGTCGCGTGGGGAGTGAGGGAAGGGGGCATGTGCATACCAAGCTCCCCAACCCTCAATGGACAGCTCAAGCTCTGGACCCAAGGCCGAGCGGACGTTCCGAGGGCCAGACGGTTAACACTGCAGCCCAGGCGCCGGCCCCTCGGCCCCCACCCCTGAGGACGTGGCGGGCACTCCGCCCGGGGTCCTGTAGGGCTGCGGGCCGCGCGCGGGGCACACCTGGCGGGGACGCACCTGGCAGAGCGCTCTGCCCGGCCCGGGGACACCCAGGAACGCGCGGGGCCCTGCCGACGACCGAACCCGCAGGACCGCCCACCCTACTTACCCCGGCGTGATAAACCTTGTTCGCTCTCTTAATCTTAATGTCCAGGGAGGTCCCCATTTTCGATTACTCCGCTGAGGGAGCGACTTCCTGACGCGCGTGACCCGAGGGGAAGGCGAGTCGCCCCGCCCCTCCGAGCCGGCCCCACCCCTTTCTCCTCGCGGCCTGCAGCAGTTTCTGGAGACCTCGCTCGCGATTCCGGATCGACTCCCCCGCCTTCCTTTTTCCGGTGCAGGGGCGGGCCTTAGAGCGGGCTGAAGATCTGTCACTCTTCGCCCCGCCTCTGCCGGACGTGAGGGGCGGGACCAGACCAGCCCCACCTTTTCCGTAAAGACGCTCTTAACACCGGAAATGCCCCCCTCCCTGGTTTACTGAGGGGTGGGGGAGGAGGGGAGAAGAAAACGGCTATCTCCCGGCATGCCCCGCGGGGGTGGGAGGTTGCGTGTCCTCCGCGCGGGCCCTGCCTGTGCCGGAGAGGTGAGGCTCCCGTCAGACTGGGCGGCGCGCAGGCGCTGGGCTAAGGAGTGGGCATTAAGGTCGTGATAGCTTGGGAGTGCGTTCCTGCCCCAGTTTCCTTCCTCTCGTCGTCTCTAGTCCTTCCCCGGTCTCTCCCGGGGGTTCTGAGGGCCGGCGTCCTCGGCTCTGCGGCGCTGCCTCCCTTCCCCGCGGCCCCCGCTCCGGCTGGGCGGGGAGCCAAGATCTCGGGGAAGCGCCGGGTACCCGGGAGCCGGGGCCGCGGGGGCTTGTGGGTACTCCCCCGGCGCGCGCCCTGCACCGGTGCTGAATATTCATGGCGGTGCGCAGAGTGCTGGAAGGCGCGGCCCGCAGGCCCTCGTCCCCGCGGCGCGTGGACCGACCGGACCTGCCGGGTCTCCTTTTTATTTCCGGCCAGAGCTGCCTGAAGCAGACACGAGACACAGATTGGTTTGGGGGCAGAGGTGCCTCCAGCCAGGGCAGCGGTACAGAGTTAGGCAACACACTGCTTTGACTGAAATAAAATTCCCTGTAGGTGTTTTAAACCAGGACTTTTCCAGTAAGCCCAGAGGTAACATTTCGTTATTTTGGTAACAGGCACTGCGGTGGAGAACTGCTTTTTGTTTTTAAATTCCTTATTCTGATGTCCGTGTTTTCAAGTGCATCACATTTAAGATTACATTCGAAATTTTCAGTAAAACAATTTCATGAGTCAGTTTCACCGGCGCCTCCCTCTTGAGAATTTAAGGCATTTTATAGGACGACAGGGATGGTGCTGTAGCTACAATTGCTTTTGAAGGGTGATACAAGGTGGTATTTCCCCAATACTCAGGTCTCCGGTTTCAGCTCTTCCTCTGCCCCCAGGGCTTCAGTCTCTTGGACGTCTTCCTGCTACTCAAACTCAGCAATTCTAAGAACAATTCATTAGGGATTAAATAATCACAGTCTAGTCTCCTTGCAATTCAGGAAATGAATCCCTCTCCACTAGACTCACCCATCATTTCCAACAGGTAAAATACCAATCTCTGTAGACAGTGCAGGGAAGCAGGAAAAGAAACAAGGATCCCTGTTCTAGACTTGTTGGCCCAGCAAACCTGCTTTATACTTAGTTTACAACAGAACATTTCTTGTTCCTGGAGGTCAGGTATGCCATGTTTTACTCATCTTCGTAGGTTGTACACTATCTTTATGGAATGCTAGTGCAGGGCAAAGAGCTTTTGTTCCAGCAATTACCGTGTAATCAGTTTTTGAGCCCTCTCTGTGTGATGGCTTCCAAACAGGAAATAGTCCAGTTTTCTCCAATCACTGCTCTTTTGAATCTTTCCATCCCTTAAGCCATATCCCTAACTTCCTAGTCAATTTCAGTTAGTAAAAATCAGACCATGTCAAAGGGCCAATCTCATGACTTGAGTGGGAAGCCAGATCCTTAGTGGAGGTGGGAGGGTACGAGTCATGGTCCTGGCTCTTGGACACTTCTTCAACGTCCTCTTCAGGCCTGGCTTCTGTGTTGAGGCAAGCATTGGGTAACGGGCCTCTGCCCAAAGTTCTCTCTTGATTGGTTCCTGCTCGCATGGATAACTGGCCCTTGCTGGAAACTTTCAGGGGACACCTATGAGGAGGTCTTGTGGGCTTTTTCCCTTCCATACATTTCCGTGGGAGGTTGATCTCCAGCCTGACCTTTTCCATCACCCCTCTGCCAGCACCCACTAGTGCACTCAGCCTTTTGGTGAGGGTTCAGCAAGACGGCTCAAGACAGTCTATCTTCCACAGAATCCACGTGACTCATAAGAAATACACATCCTTACCACACAAAAGGGCTGGACTGGAAGCTGACCGAAGGCCTCTCTTCTCCCCTCTGCTCTCTCTCTTCAGTTTCCTTGCTCCCTCTTGAAATGCAGGCAGGAATAACTCAGTGAGAATGCTGACTAGACAGATTCGCAAGGAGGGAATGGAAGACCAGCCTTGCCTTCCAGTAGGCCCAACCAATACCAAGGGGAGATTACCTTGCAGCCTCCCACTCTGCATCACTTCCCAGGAAAAACATTGCACTCTCCACAAGGTCAACTGCCTCCTTTCATTCTTTCCTCTCCCTCCCTACGTAGAATGAGATGGAGAGGCTTGGAGAAGTATTCAGTGGAAGCAGGGGTTAATCCCTGGGGGAGCGTCCAGCTCCCGTTGTAGGGATCTTTCACTAGAAGGTAGGGCACTATGCTTGTTTCAGCTGTGAGCCTCAATCCCATTTCAGGACAGTAGGAGAGTCCCCACTAAACATCTTTCAGTGGAGGCTGTGATGCTCTGCTCAGTCCTTTTGGGACTGAGGGACATGTTCCCGAGCTGCTGAGAGTTCTGCTTTCAAGAGCTGTCAGCTCAGCCACTCTTCACAACTTGTCCTTAGGTAAAGATAACTGCTTTGCCCAAAGTCATGGTCTTTTGGTTGGAGGGGGAAGGTTTGGGGGACAGCCCACATCTAATGGCTAGTCTATTTAGGGTATAAGGACCTCTTCCAGTTTGGAACAACTCTGAAGGACAGGTCAGCTCCCTATATTAGTTATCTACTGCTGTGTAAAAAATTACCTTTAACAATTAATAGTTTAACACAACAGACATGTTTGATCTCATAGTATCTGTGACTTGGGAAATCAGGAGCAGCTTCCCTGGGTAGTTTTGGCTCAAAGGCTCAGGTGGTCACAGCCAACATGTTAGACAAGGGCACAGTCATCCAAGGCTGGATAGGGCTGGAGAGCCGACTTCCAAGATGGCGCCCTTATGTGGCTATGGGCTGGAGCCCTCAGTTCCTCACCACCGGAGACTGCCCAGAGGCTGCATGAGAGTCTTCACAGCATGGCACTCTGTTCCCAGTGGCTGCGGAGCCTTGGCTGTGATTGCATCACAATTAAACTTCTTCCTCTGCCCAACCCAGTCCTGCTTGCTTCATGTCCACCCCCACACCTGTTGATCTGGAGAGTACCCCCTAATATATTTCCTGCACATTAATCTCCATCTCAGGGCCTGCCCCTTGGCAGCCCAGCATTTAACAATCCTGTCACATGAGCTTCCTGACTTAACTCCTCTGAGCCTCTGTAAAATGATCTCTACCTTCATTGTAAAGTTGACAGAATTCATAATGACTCACATATATGTTAAGTACTTGTGGTGGGCCAAGCACTGTTGTAAGCACTTTAAATATTTTAATTTGTTCTATCCGTACAGGGACAATTGCATTTCCCTCACTTTACAAAAGGGAAAAAAACTGAGGCATGGAAGGATTAACGGACTCGCCCAAAGCCATGTAGCGACTAAATAGCGGCCGCTCATTTGGATCCAGAGCTTCCATGTGCCATCACCAATCACCATGTTCCATATGTTCATGTGACAGATGTCTGGGCTGTGCAAGGGGACACAGCGTCTTAATGAAAAGTCCAGTTTGCCAATCAAATGTGAAAAATCAAGCAGGGGTGCAACTTACAGGCAAAGGCGATTTTGCAGAAACTGATAGTGAAGATACACGTTAAGAGCCATAGGAGAGTTGTATGGTGTATTAGCTTACTGAGGCCGCCATCACAAAGTAGTGCAGATGAGCAGCTCAGAGCAATAAACATGGTTCTCTCTCTTGGTTCTGGAGACTGAGGTCTGGAAATAAGGCGTCAGCAGGGTCACTTCCTTTCAAGAGCTGTGAGGGAAAATCCTGCTCCTACCTCCTCTCCCTGGCTTGCATATGGGTGTCTCCTGCGGCTCTTCACTTTGCCTTTTTACAGGTCTTCATCTTTGCATCACTTTCTCCCTGTGTCGGCATCTCTCTCCAAGTGCTCCCTTTTTGTAAGGACACCCTCATGTTGGAGTAGGGCTCGCAGTAATGACCTCGTTTTGACTTGATTGCCTCTGTAAAGACCCTGTTTCCAATGACAGTCACGTTGTGAGGTACTGGGGGTTAGGAGTTCACTAAATGAATTGAACCTGTAACGTATAACAACAATATATATACAGCGAAAATAGATAAATGGACAGTTAATAGAAGATTTTATTTTATTTTTTAAAAGATTTTATTTATTTATATGACAGAGAGAGAGATCACAAGTAGGCAGAGAGGCAGGCAGAGAGAGAGGAGGAAGCAGACTCCCTGCTGAGCAGAGAGCCTGATGTGGGGCTCGATCCCAGGACCCTGAGATCATGACCTGAGCTGAAGCAGAGGCTTAACCCACTGAGCCATGCAGGTGCCCTGTTAGTAGAAGATTTTAACACAACTCACTCTGTCAAAGATTGAGTACATGAGCAATAAAGGGATAGAGGATTTTAACAAAGTAATTAAGAAGTACAATTAAATATAATGGGATCACAGGGGATTCACCTTTTCAAGTGTCTGTATGAATTTATAAGCATTGATTATATACTGTGCCAGAAAGAAAATCGCATATTCAATTAACTAAGTACAGTCCGGATCCTTTAACCACCCCAATTTTAACTATTTCAAAATTTAGACAAACTCCCCCAAATATATTAGGTGAAGGAGCAAATAAAAATAAGGTAACCAAATAAAAATAAGAAAGTGTGAATGCTTCATGCCAAAGCCTGTGGGAAATACCAAAGAAAGAAACCTCTGAAAAATTATTAGAAAATACTTTAAATATTTGGCCACAGTGAAATGACATGATATGTGGAATTTATTTTAAATTAATT